CCGAAATTACTCTGCCGAAGGACTTCGTACCACATCGGGCAACAAGTTTCGCGGGTCTCACCATATTTGGTAAATCAGCTACGTAGGCCTTCGCGTCTTGCCATATTAGGTAAATCATTACGTAATGCCTTCGCGTCTTCACCTGGGGACGAGAGCAGCTTGTTCCCAGGATGTTCAGTAAAGAAAACAATATGGCTGCCATGCGCCCAGCGCGATGCCGACACACAAGAAACTTCGGAGATACGCAGTGCAAACATGATATATCGGTATTGTCCAGGTGCAAAATTGCACATTCAAAATATTTTTAGGTGCAAATCTTGAAAATTACGTGCAATTTGCACATTGCACCTTTGTATTTCGAACCCTGACTTACCATAAAGTTGCAATCGCACAGAGATCGTACGTTGTAAGCACGTACAACTCACTTACCACTTGCGCAACGTACGATGCACTCAACCGCACATGGCCAGACGTGGCGTGCAGACCACACTCTTACACTTTGCGCAACCGTGCGAGTGACGTACGTAGACACCACTCCTTCCCCACGTTTTCAGAAAAAACGTAGCAGAGTCACGTAGCCTCCCAAAAAACGTACGGATAAAAAGCATGTACGGCGGGTTGTGACCAGGGCTTCAGTGTTTCCTACACGTTTTTAGGCCTAGGAAAAAAAATGTTGTGTTTTCTGTTTCCCAACTGACCAAAGCCTTTTAAGTTTTTTGTGTGGAAATAAATTTTTATGGCTTTACCACACCACTGTCTGTGGGGAGGGGGACAGGTACGTTTTTGTTACGGGGGATGTGGTGAAGCCATTTGCTGCATTTGCTCCCAAGCAAATATCTGCCTTTCTAGTTTTTTTTTGCCTTTTCTAACCCCATGATATGACCCAAGTGATGAAACGTTGTACAATCGGCTTTGAAACATTGTCGTAAATAAGAAAAGTGATAACAGTGTCCTCATGCAAGTTTTACTAGTACTGCACTTTGTGAAACTGTATTGTATAACTTGAATCACTAGAGATGATGTAAAAAGAAGAATCTAAAAAAAGATAGTCCCATAACCTACTGACCTCAATTTCGTCAGGACTGAAACAGGAAACACAACATTTTTTCCCTAGGCCTTACACCTCATACTGTAAATGTGTACAAAGATTTTTTTTCAGTGTTAGTTTAAGTGTGTTTATGTTAAACACATTTTTAGTTACATACTAGTTTTTGCCTTTTCAGTTACTCTCATCTGCCGAATAAACATACCTCCCAGAATAAACGTACCCCCCGGACAAATCTTCAAAATCAAATAAACATACCCCCGGAATAAACGTACCCCCCGGAAAATTACCAAAATTGACGGGTAACCTGTGTCTCTTGTACTAAAATACGCCCTTACTGATATATGCACAAATCTTTAACTGTTATTTGCAATTAGGAATTTAAATAGACAAAAAAAAAGAGCATTTAATATTTCGTATTTTGATAAGCACCACCCATGACAATAGAACATTCAGAGGAATTTATGCACGCGGTGATTGCAAAAACCGGCCCGAAAATGACAAGTTTCTCGCTACAATACGCGTTTATAAACGTCTTCACGTCGATGATTTGTCAATTTTTTTCACACGAAGTTGAAAAAATTACTGGTTTTCAAAAATTAATAAACGTACTGTGCAAAATAAGAACGTACTAGGTGGATGTTCGGGCCCAAAAAAATAAACGTACCCATATGTTTATTCGGCAGATGAGAGTACATACTAGTGTAAGGCCTTAAGTTAAACTCATCATGCATGACTGACAGACTGTATGTTGTTTCTCATTGTCTTTTTTAATCCTGGGAAATCATGCAGAAAATCACCGTATCTGGAGCATTTTTGTAGCAGTAATGAGTTTTTTGCAATCTTTCTGCAGATCTCTGAAACCAATTAGATTTGGAATCTCTGTTACTATTGTTGTTTAATTGTGCTGACTTGAATATGTAGTGGATACAATGGAACCTAGAAGCGTACAGTCTTAGGAATGTGGTGTTACCAGTTAGTCTACTGACTCACTGTTGGGATACCTGTGCATATTTCTAGATCTACTACATGTTGTATCTCAAAATTTGTCAGGACTCGAAATTCATTTTCGGGAATAGGTCGCTGGTGCACCCAATTTGCAACCTAAAAAATTAGGTGCACAAAAATTTTTTTGGGTGCACCATATAAAACAAATTTATTGCAAGTCTTACTGCTCCTCTTTTAAGCTTGAATCTAAAATGAGGGCTACATGTAGCTTCAAAATACATGTACTGCAACAAAGATTCTATTATTTTTCTGATACTTTAGTGACCAAGAATATCCAGTATACTATTATACATTTCTAATGTACAAAATTCCTACAAAAATATTTGGGTGCACTAGTCCACCCACAGAAAAAAATTAGGTGCACGACTCAAATTTTGGGTGCACTAAGGTGCACGTGCACCCAGTATTTCGTGCCCTGTTTGTACATAATAACTTCTGCATAATTATGGTAAGTTTTGAATTGATCGGATGAATCTGGTTAATATAAATTGGTCTTAAAGATTTTCTCCTGTTGTCATAGCTAAAGCAAAGAGAGAGATCGTGGTGAAACGTGGCTCACGACCTCTTCTTCAACTGGCCGCCGAGGCCGTGGATCCCAGGGTACAGCGGAACGCAGTCGGCGCTCTTCTGAACCTCACACATCTAGGTAAGGACCAGGAGGGAGCCTGTCAATGATGAGAGTTTCAGGTGAAAGGGGTTGGCCGTGGGGGTTTGTAATTTTTCTGCTTAAGAAGTGCAAATAAGTGTTTGGTGAGTGTAAGATTTAGTTTTGTACACTCTGGGCCAGTTTATATGAATTCTCATATTTACTTAAAAGTAGTATTAATTAATTTTTTTATGAAGATTTACCACATTTGCGGAAGAATTGACATAACAGGTGAGTATCACCTCTTCAAAGATGTCAAACCTGAGACCAGACTGTAAGGTTTGAACCACTCACACCGGGAAGGACCTCTACAGTAACTGTTTTTGATAAGTTTGGTGGGTTCAAGTGAGGAAAGTCGTGTAAATTACCTTTCCTATTAGGGCACAAGATCGGTGACAAGGTGGGGTTCGAACCCGGGACCTCTTGGTTCAGAGCCGAAGACGCTACCGCTACAGCACACAACCCCACGATTATACTAGACGTGTTTTTATAAAAAATTTTGCATTATGTACTTTCATGGTGCTTTGAATTTGCAATATGAGGGATTATAACAAAAATCATTCTTTACAAGTCAGAGAAATACTAGACACACATATATGCATTCATGGTGTCATAATTTTGCTGGAAGAGGTCACTACAAAGATAAAAAACAGTTTACAGTCTACAGTTACAGTAACTGAAGATCTATTTTTGAAGAATTATTATAATACTACCTTGTAATATGTTACCCTCGATGTTGATTTCTTGTTTCTTTTTTTTTTTTTGGCCAACAGAAAACAACAGAAGTGACTTAGTGCGGGAAGGTGCCCTGAAGGTGTTTAATGACCTCCTATTGGACGATGACACAGAGATTCAGTATTACTGCGCCGCTGCTCTCAGCAACATGGCGGTCGACACCGAGCACCGGAGGATCATGGGTAATCTGTGGGAAAGGAACATCCCCGGACGACTCATCGCACTCTTGTCTTCCATGGCTGACAAGGTGTCATATCTTCATTAATTTCCATATTATCATAATTAACAGCCTCCAGTTTAATTCCAGACTTCCTGGTTAATTCCGGACTTATTCCCATATTCCAGTGACCTTACATCTAGAGTAAGGTCAATTTTGTGTGAAATATTCTTTCCCAAGAATGCCTTTAGTTTGTGATCATAACTACTAGTCAAGAAATAGCCATGCCTTCAGTAATCAACCAAGAATTGAGGTGTTCAAAAACTCATTTTTTTCTTTCCTACAACTATCACAGAGTGGAACTCGCAGTCACCAAGTACAGTAGGGGCATTGTCATTAGCTTTAAACATCGCTTAGAGTTAGATTTTCAACGGTTAAGTGTATTTGGTGCAATGTAGCCAGCTGCCGCCGCGCCGCATGTCTGCGAAGCTGGTAATTTACACTGAAGGGCAGTTATACTGATACAGAAACATACAATGATGATACAATGAATGTGACTTGGTCCTACATGCGCATATTGTCATACTAGGTAAATATACTTAATGATACTTTTTTCAAGTTCAACAATTTCTTGTACATTCTTCTTTAGGTGAAATGTCAAGCCTGCCTTGCACTAAGGAATCTGGCATCTGATGGTAAGGAACACAATTTATTAGTACACAAACAGTACAATAAGAATTACACCTGTTTGGAAAATGTTATCACAACCGAGGTATGATGTCAATTGTTTTGGCAAATGTACAAAATATACTTTCCTAGGTGAAGTTTTAAAAAATCGTAAATAAATATTATGGTTTATACAATACTTTATTTCTTGGATTGATATTTCTCATTATATCAATTATCATACCCGCGATAACGTTCGATAACGAATACAGAAGTCGAACGTTGGAACTGATGTTGCATTTTAGGGTTTAGGGACACCACATTCTGGCTCATTTTTGCATTAAAAAGCGCATTTTCTTTGGTGGGTATGACATAAATAAAATACAGCATGGTGTATTCCGCATTCCCCTTCGGTCCCGGCCCGTATTCTATTTACGTTTTTGCCCAACAACTTGCCTTCTCATTAGAGAGTCTGAAATTTGTCTTTTTTTTTTTTTTTCAGAAACTAACCAGCGGTTGATAGTACGTCAGGGAGCCCTGCCGAAGCTGTATCACCTGCTGAAGACAGGCAGTAAGGACACGCAGGTGGCAGCTGTGGCATGTGTCAGGAACCTCTCCATCTGCAAGGCTAATCAGGTGCTGTCATTTCATCTAATATTATTATGATTAATTCTTTCAAACTTGGACATCATAAGTCTTATTAAACTAGAAATGATACCAGGCTCTGTTATTGTGCAATGTTCTATTTATCTATTCAGAATTGTAACATGACAATACAAAGTGTGCACTAGGCAGCAAGTATGCTGATAGCGTGCACAAGTAACACATACCTGGACATATGACATAGAAAAACAACAATAAATAGTTAGAACAAGATATATTACACAGTCAAATAACATTATCTATATACAATAATTTACACCTGCAATTAAAATTGTTCTAAGTATGATGTATTACAACATCCAGTCCTCACTGAAAAATAAAAGTTTTCAATCATTGTATGGTTTGATTTGGTGAACATGACATATAAAAACTAAAAGGAATGAAATGCATCACTACATCAAAGTAAAAGGCAAAACATTAAATCAGAGCCTTTTCTATCTTGTCTCCTCTCTTCATACTGTAACAGTGGGGGGTTTATAGGTGCTACCAACTGACTCGGCCGATGGGTCTAGACCTTTTAGCGGAGTGGTTAGAGCGTCTGGTTATGAAGCTCTGGTGCCCGGGAGGTTGTGGGTTCGAACCCCGGCCCGGGACCAGAAGGGTTTTTACTGGCTCCCTCCTGTTTCTTACAATACATGTATTTATCTGCCTTCTGGTATAACAACAGACATTTTTGCCCATTTTCAGCATGTTGATCACTTTCAGAAGGCAATTCCATAAAATTACTTGCCTTGTTGTAATTCCATAAAATTACTTGCCGTGGCCTTACATTGTATGTCTAAATCACATACAGGAATTCATAACTGAATGTGTGATTTACATTTTTGTCACTAGGAGGAGCTGCTACAAGACTGGTTCCTGGCTATCCTTCCCAGAATGCTGAGGGACAAGTCCACGGCGGTGCGATGTCACGCGGCCGGCACTGTCAGGAACCTGGTGGACACGGAGAACGCTGAGGTGAGACTTAACACAGCTCTTTGTCAAACCAACAGACTGAAAAACTCTGACTCCCATTCCATACCTTGTGAACCTTCTCAACAAAGGACAGTGAACTCTGAACTGCAAACAAACTTTCTGCTGTTTTGAATCTTCATACTTTATGTTTACATTTATCCTGTACTCAGTCCACCATAAGCTATGAGTTTTAGTACGTATACATGCAATTAATTTTTTATCATCAAGAGATATCAATGTCTTGTATATAAGAATTACTGATAACGGAGAAACTGTAAATACCTACAAATTGTATAATAAAATGAGCATAATTGTAAGTACTTAATACGCAATTCAGATGTAAGTGTGGTATTGCAATGAAGTTTCAGTTTCATTGGTCTAGTCTTGATGAAACAGGGTAACCCAGTATGAATACCCAAGTTTCAAGTACAATATATTGTTACCAACATGTGAAGTGCATCTCTGCAACTATTAGATAACGTTTCACACTAAGGGCATTTGTCCAGTCATTTATTACTATCAACAGGTGACATTTGTTTTTAAATAAGCAACTCATTATACTCATTAACTCATATGTATACAAACATTTGGTTCTGTCATCACATTTTTTCACATTCGTCAGACTGGAAAGTTGATTATCAGCAGGTACACAATTTAATGTACACAATTTAATGTAAGAGGAATATTGTTAAACAACATGCAACAAGTCTCTTTTTGTAATATGCCTTTTTTGTGGGGTTTTGTTCAGGCATTTGTACAAGCAGGAATCCTGGACGCCCTGACAGAGAACCTGGTGGACTCCTCCAGTAGTGTTGACCTTCAGTCAGAGGTCACAGCGGCAGTTGCCATCATGGCCAACAAGGGTGAGTCAACTACTGTTGTTTAAGAGAAATAAAGAAAATAGAAAATTGCTGAAGCATAATCCGTGAATAGTTTCATCAGGTTGGTAAGTCACTGATTAAAGAGACTCTTTTTACACAACCAGGTCATTGGCACTCCTAAATGCATCTATAACAGCGACACCTGTGCTGCAGTGCAATGTGAACCAGTCAGAATTGCCCTGAGGAAGGTGACAGATGGTCACCGAAACGTCTGCTGAATAAAAGACGTGGTTGTGTAGAAAGAGTCTCTTTACCCAGCATTACAGATTGTATAAATACAGCATTTACTGATTATGGATACATGTATTAGCATATTTTGTTTGTAATATAGATAGTAAATGTAGCTCAAAACTGTACAATCATGCATATTTATGTCATTCCAGTGCCTTTCTTACTTAGTAACAGTCCTCCTTCCCACTAAAAGCTATCTATAAAGATATTCTACAGGTGGCTCACTCTTATAAACAAAGAACAGATTTTTTAACATCTTGTTTCGAAATTTTGAAATCATACTTTTGCATTGTGCACCATATTCTAATATCTTAAAGAAAAATAGTCTAAAGCAATCAGCAATGTCAATAAGGCTAAGAAGTTCAGGAATTAATGAATGTAATTAACTGTTTCAGAGTCAGTTCGAGATCACCTGCACCAGACCCGGGAGGGACGTGTCTTCCCTAACCTTGTATCCGTGGCGACCAACTGTGAGAATTTGAATGTGCAGTACAACTGTGCCAGTATCATCGGCCAGCTGCTGGTCACAGGTCAGACACTCTGCAAAAATTCTGTTATGATTGTTCAGCAAGTCTACAGAAAAAACTACATTGTATGAAAGAGGGGCTAGTGTAACAGAAATAAAAAGAAACCTACACGTACAGTGGATGTCACTGGAATACAGACGAAAAATGTCCAGACTATGCATGATGTACAAAATGACTAATAAACTGGTGGACGAACCAACTACTTTAATAATTATACCTAATACCAGCCCAGAAAAGAACAAGAAATACTCATGCCTTCAAGTACCAGAGTTATCAACTGTTACAGGATTGAGGTGTTCAAGAATTCATTCTTTCCTAGAACTATCGCAGAGTCCAGCAGGGGCTTTATCATTACATAGCTTTAAAGAATGTTTAGTGTTAGATGAGTTAGATGTTCAAAGGTTAGGTATAACAAGTTGTTCGGTGTAATGTAGCCAGCTGCTGCCACGCCACGTGCCTGCGAAGCTGGTGTGTTACACCAAGGGGCAGTTATACCGGCTATACAGATACAGAATCTGATACAGGTCTTTCCAACAAGTCTACTAGTACATGACGTGTAGTCCCACCAATCTTTGGTCATGAAGAAATAGCCAACAGTCTGGGACCTCTGATCCTTTTCAAGTTGAAAGGACCATCCATATCATCAACTTCAGTGTAGCCTTCTTTAGAACACTCAAAGTTAAGTTAATAACGTACCTTTTTTTCCAGGTATAGAAGCTGAAACTATTGAGCCCAATGTGCCTGGACTCCTGTGTTACCTGGAGCGATTGTTGAACAGTGGAGATGCTAACGCCATCCAGATTTCACTCTGGTCACTTCTGCTGCTCGCAAAATGTAAGAGTACCCTCTTTAAATTTTATACTAGTACTGTCAGACAGCTGAATATTGCAGGACACATGCATGACTCCCAAGAATGCCCTCAGTTTGTTATCATATGATACGTTTGAATGACGTAATTGTAAAGAACACTGGTAGGCATCTCACCAAAATCATTTCACGGTACTTTTATGTTTGTGGGGTTTTTTTTCAGTCACTTCTGTACTGCGAGTTTATCATCACTGTTAACAAATAATTTGCCGACTTTTTTATGTACCTGCCACCACTGTGAACATATAGTTTGTAACACCTCTGAACTGTGAACTTTTGCTACCATAAACAAACTACAGTTACTGTATTATGATGTAAATTACTATCAAAACAGAATTATGATAACCGTGTTGTTACACTGGTGGAATTTTTGTTCCTGATGTTCCTATGCTGTTTCTGTTTCAGATGACAACTTCCAAAGAGTGTATCCCTCAAGTGCTCTTCCCCAGAAAGTGGAGAGTCTGTTGTGGTCAAACCTGCCAGCTAACATACAGGAGATGGCTCGCAGTGTTGTCAACAAGTACGCAACCAGCTAACCATCGTACACCAGAACTAACGCCCCGTTCTGACTGGGTTTTGAATCACGATTCAATTGCGACTGAGGTCCGATCCTGATTGAATCGCGATTGATATTTCTGAATCTGAAAGCTCCAATCGCGATTGAATCACGATTAATGAAATCCATCTCTGGGAGGTGGATTCAATTGCAATTGATGGCAATTCCCGCGCTGAAAGAACGCCATCATGATTGGTTGAGCCGACAAGTGTGAATGCATTGTGATCCAATCGAAATTGGAGGCAATACTGATTCAATCGCGATTGGATCTCAGATGTGGATTTAATATGAACGGGGTGTAAGGCCTTATGACTGTGCAATTCTGAAAAACCTTTCTTTTTGTTTTAATTGAATTGAGACTTACTTACTAGCCTAGGGAAAAAATGTTACAGTTGTATTTTAAATTTTAGTCCTGAAAAAGGTAAGGTGGGTTTGTAGGGATTCTTGTCTATTTTTAAACTTTTTTTTTAGATTTTGTAGTACCGATCCAACAAATAAAATTTTATGCAAAAAACAAATGCATCAGGAACAGGTCTTCAAGACCCGTTTCACAATTCGAAACACTTCCTACAAGTAGGCCTTACATTTTGTACCAGCATTGGATGTTTTTTTTTTAGAATGAAGTACTCAAAACAGATATTAGATTTACACATGTAAGTTAAGGCATTTGTACCTTTTCAGAGTGAGTGAGTGAGTGAGTGAGTGAGTGAGTGAGAGTGAGTGAGTGAGTGAGTGAGTGAGTGGGTGGGTGAGTGAGTGAGTGAGCGAGTGAGCGAGTGAATGAGTGATGGTGATGGGAAACTGTTTTCATGTACTCAGACAAAGCTTGACTAACACTTTTTGTGGTGGTGGTTTGAACCTTGTATGTCAGTTCTATGACTCGAAGCACACTTTTAGTATTTCGAATTTTACTCCAGTATGTGGAATATGATTTTGAATGGTTGTTATTGTATAATGCAGATTTTGAAAATACACAATTCATGTAGTTAAGCACTTCCATTTTTATCACTATATACCAAGTTTGCCAATAAAAGAAAGACTAATTTTTAAGATATGCTCTTTTGGTTACTTAAATGGATACTTTATAAACAGTCATCAGTTTGAACTGGAATAGAGAGTTTTAGAACCAAAGTTCACTTTGTATTGATGGTTTATGGTTTTAACTACTATGCACAGATGCATATAGCTGCACTCTAAATTATTATAACTTAACATAAAATCCCATGATGTTATGGATATGCAAAATTAAGTATTTATCTAAGGCCACACCAATTTAATTTGTTGGTTCTCGGATTTTTTCAGAAAAAATATGAAGCGACAGGGCGAAAAAATAAAAAAAATAAAAACAGGTCTAGGCATCCTATTATAGCCCCAAATGCTACAATATGAGCCATGAAGTCAACAAAGGCTGGGTTAAAATTTAAAGTATAAATTTTTAACTTTTAATCAAACCACTGCATTGATAGATGGAAAAAAACTGTAACAACTAGGAAGAAAAGGACTTTCCTCAACTGTTGGGGGAAAAATATAAGCATTTTTGAGTTGATTCAGAACCAGAATCTTTTTTTTT